CACCCAGATATGGGTGACGTTCTTCTTCGTCAAGTTAAATAGGATTTTACAGGTAATTTATAAAAATCCCATTTGTAACACAAGAATTTAATGGAATATCACACTATTAATTTATACTTAAAATAAAATACAACATTATACTACGTAGCATGGTATTCGTTAAAACAGTTCGAACACATGATTTTGGACAATTGGGACAATATGTTGTCTTTTTTACATTTTTTCTCGCTTCCTGGCGTTCGAGAATTTGTCTCTTCTTCTGGTAACATAGAACGCAAATTCCAGCTAATCGCTCTGTTTACTCGTCCAACAAATTCGTGCCGCGATTCGATTTCACGATGTGTTTTGTAGTTCGAGTTACTTTCGAAAAATGGAACTATTAATTACAACTTTACATTTGATTGGTAAAAGCAAGAAGTAATATTTATTGCAAAGAAATTAGCCGATAATAATACAATGCAATAGTATAGCAACGAATAAATATAAATAAACGGATATGTAACTTTCGAGTCGTTTGACGTTATTAGAGGGTTAAAAGAAGCGGTGAAGATTAAGAGTTCAGGACTCTTAAATCGGAACCAAGTGATTTTTCACTTTGGAGAAATGTTCAAAAAATTACGAAAATTCGGGAAATTTATTATTCGGGATTACTATCTGTTTCGAGCATTATAATTTTTTTTCGAATTAGACAAATATTTGAATGGAAAGTCGACAAAATTTTCTACATTCTTTCGTAGTATACAGAGCTATGTTTGAAATATTAATTTAAATGGCTCATCGAAAGTTGGCACAGATTTATCGAACGACTTAACGCAGTCTTTTCGGCATGAATTTTTATGCTTGAAAATGTGGAATAAATGCATATGGTTCGCCTATAAAGTGTTTCCTTATCGTATTTCGTTGAACTGAGATTTTCAGAGAAGGCAATTTTGAGTACGTTTTCTCAAAAAATATAATGTCAAATTAACCGACACCTCAACGAGGACTGTAATAGAAACGAATTGTATTAAACTGCAAATATAAAGTGCCGGTACTTAAATCTAACACAATTTGCATAGGCTTCCTGATAAAGTAAATTAAAAAGAAACAATGACAGAAGAATATATTTTGTAATGAAAGTGAACAAAAATTCAAAAATTAACGAAACCAACAGGAAATAATAGTAACCATAATACTAGACCTTTGAAGTTCATTAACAAAATATTAAGTCAAATTACACTTTTTATTTACATTTTTCGTTTTATTTTTACT